TAAAATGAGGGGAGAAGTGTTCCTTCTTTTTTCTGCTTTAATTGTTTGATATAATTTATCAGTTAAAATGTATATGAGCCTGCTGCTGTCATATAGGTAGGTTTTCAAGCTAGGAATATACTGTCTTTTATAGGTGCTACTCGAATTTTATATTTCCTCCAGAGTTAGTTTCATTAATTTGTCTTCCAAGGTACTTCTTAGAAATTGTCAAATTTATTTCAAAAAAGATTTTTGTAATATGCTTTCTATATCCTTTTAAATTCTGTAAAATCTGTGGTAATGTCTCCTAGATCTTGATATTGTAATTTTAAAAATGTGTAATTGATATTGTATAACAGGGAGAAAAGGTCTAAAGGTGCAAGGGAAGTGGGAGGGGTAGGGGAAAGGGAAAAAGGGAAAAGAAAAAATATGAAAAGAAAAAAATGGAAACAAGGTCTTTGCAAATAGGGAAGGGTGAAGGGGGTGAAGGGAGGGCAAGGGAAGGGGAAAAAAAAAAGAACCAAGAGACTCATGTAATGGTACAAGATCCCAATGAGGAATGTAACTGTATTTTATACCTAAAATGTACCAATAAGCTTAATGAAAAAAAAAGAAAAAGAAAAACAACAAAAAAAGCAGTGCCCAACGTTGACATCAGTTCATGAAATGTTGCATTTGAGTGGTTCATTTTTGTTGTTGTTGCTCATGTATATTTTCTCTTTTTCTATACTAAACATAAATCACAGGGGGACTTTTTTAAGGGGGACAAACAGGGAAGTACTGTTGTTGTTTCATCTACTCTCTATTCCGAAAAGAAAAATTCTACAGAATCTTCTGACTACAGTAAAGCAAACCCGCAAGTCCAGCCCTACCTTCAAAGCTGCAGTCTGACCCTCACCATGTGAATAGTAATGAGGATGATTTGGAGAACAATGCTTCTTACATGGCTCTCAAGGTGTATTGTGAAAGGTTAGGATTCACACACAGACCACTGCAGTTACTTACATCTAAAAACTGCTCTTATTTTAAAGATGGATGAACCCAACACCCTGCCATTTGTTAGGCAGCACTTTGAGCAGTTCTTTGAAGCCCCACCGTGCATGCATCTCTCCACTGGTGCACTTACCATACTGTGTTACAAGTATCTTTCCCTGCATCTTGTCTCCCAACAGACTTAGCTCTTTGAGGCAAGACCAGTGTTAGTCATTGTTATGGCTTGTGTCTAGATGTCTCCTCAAAGCTTCATGGGGTCATAGGTGGGGCTTTTTCAGAGGCAGCTGGATCTAGAGTGTGTGACTGATTCATGGTGCAATGCTAGGATCAAGGGCACTGGGATTAAGGGTGGGAATGCTTCCCACCCTAAGTAGCCTGGATAAGATACGAGCGATACAAAGCTGTGGTCATCGTTGCTTTGCTACCTTCTGCCTACCATGGACTGTTTGTCTTCTATGATACCTGTCTACCGTGCCACCCTGCCTTGGACCAGCCAATTATGGACTGAACCCTCCACAAACTGTGGGCCAAATAAACTTTTCCTCCCTTAACTTTCTGGGCTTTGGGTATTTTGTCTTAGCAATGAGAAAAGTAACTAACACAGTCATTTTTGCAGCCCCAAAGCTGGGGACAGTCCACGACTGATGAAGGAATGAAAAGGTCCTACCTCTTTTTGAGGTTCTTTTTCTACCTGACTCTTACTGATCTCAAAGAGATAAAACATCCATTAGTTTTTGCATCAACATTTTCCGTTTTAGCCTCTCTCAAGTGGTAAAACAAAAGGTTCTTGTGGATGAATCTGTATTTTCACTTTTGTTTATTTTGTCCATTTTTTGTCTTAGTCTTAGCCTGTGGATGGGACACTTTAAAAGAGGGGAGGGGGTGGCAGTATGTGCTTCTCATCTAACACTTAGTGACAGACTCCGAAGCTTCCCCAAGATTAGTTACAACCTCCACACGCAGATACCAACATAATGTAAGAATAAGATATCTCTGAAGACTTACTGAGTGAATACGCTAGTGGAATTCAGACCCTATGGTAGATAACCACTGGGATTTTTTTAGGAAGGGGAAGTTTTTGGAATCTTCAAGCCATTTTCTTTCCCAGGACTCATTTTCTGTATCTTGAGCCTACAAGGGACTAACTGCTAGATGATCTGGCTGAAGTTCATTCTAATCAGAGCACATGTGCAGAGCCCAGTTTCGTTTCTGGACTTGGAAGGGACTTTTCTGCAGTCCTCAGCAACAGCAATCCCTGTCCCCACACACTGCCTCTCTCAGCTTGCTCTCTTCTCGTCTACCGAAAGACAAGTAGGATCGGGCTGCCTTTGCACACACAGACTCCACAGAAGGAAAATGATGGGGAAACAGCACTATCACATAACCCCTTTACCCTGAAAACTCCTTTACCTTGGAAAGTTCAAATTATAAAGGCAGAAAACACATTCAAAGCAACCTGAATCACCAGATAAGAATAAATTCCATTCTTTATCATGTGTATAAAAAGTCTTATTTGACCAGCGAAGCCAAAATCTAAGAACTGTGTAGCAGAGTCATGTCAAGAAAACCACATTTCAAACCACAGGTAAATTCCTGCCTTTTCTTTTCTTCTTTTCAGTGGCTTTGATGTGCACAAAGAATATAGCACCTGCCTTGGAATCCAGGCCTTAGTCTTGGAATCCAGGCCTTCCTGCTGGTAGGGTTACTGTAATTTCTGTAGATTCTGTTCCCCAACATAGGTGTTTTCTCAACAGGTGCGCCATTCCAACTGATTTTAACATGTTTTTGACAATGGCAGGAAATACTGTCATGCCTCTATTAGCTAAAAACAAACAAGCCCAGAGTTCCTAAAAGCTGGCCTTTACGCAATTCAAGCAGCCTGAGGTAAGTGGGTCTGTTTGCCACATTTGACGCAATCGAGACGCCCTGGGTTCTGGGGTGTAACCCTCATCCAATCCCCGTTCTTACCCCAGGTGGCCCTCCCAATTTTTGGCTTTTTTCTTTTTCTCCACGCCTGGCAGGAAACTCAGAAGGTTAAGAGATAATAACAGAAAATAACACCTCTTCCAAACAGGCCAAATCCTGACTTCCACGCCCAAGGCTACCCACACATCTAATTGTTTTCCAGTTCTCACAAGTTAAGTGAGTGGATCACAGGGATGCAAGAGGCCTCCATGCCCAGAGTTGTTGACTGAAAAATTTCCGGATAGGAAATGGAATCAGAAATCTGTTTTAAAAAGAGAAATAGCTGCCGGATGCCTGTGATCCCAACACTTGGTAGGCTGAGGTAGGAGGTTCATCTTGAGTTTGAGGCCTACCTGGGTTACACAGCGAGACTCTGTGTCCAAAAAAATAAAAAGTAAAAAGAGAGGGGGAGAAGAGAGAGAGAGAGAGAGAGAGAGAGAGCCACAGGTCATGGACAAGGTGGCCCCTGGCCATGTTAGGAAACACTGGCGGGGACTCCAGTGCCTTCTGATGATTAGACAATGGCATCTAACCAGGGGAGACTGGATCCGGACGCATCTTACTGGGGTGTTCGCCCTCAATGGTTTCTCCCCCAGGAAGACCCAGATCAGCCCACCCCGACTTAGTACAGGAGTGAGCTGCCGCAGGCTGCGGGAGCTTTCGGCCAGATGCCCGCGCACACGAGCCCCGGTGAGGGCCCCGCGCCCTACTTACGCGCCCACCACGAGGCTGGCGTCCTGGAGCACCGCGAGCCCCCGCGCCGCGCCCCGGGCCAGGAAGCGCTCACCGCGCGCGCTCACCAGCACCGCCTGACGCGCGTTCTCCAGCAGGAGGCGGTGGCCGCGCTCCATGTCTCCGACCGGCCGCGGACCCCAGGCCGGGCTCGACCTGCCCAGCGGAGACCGAGCGCGGGGCGGGGCGGGGCGGGGCCGCAGCCTCTGCCCTCTGACCCCGCGGACGAGCGCGGGGACCGCACCGAGCACAGGGACCGCACTGTAAGAAGACCCGCCAGCCGCGCCGGGCGGAGTCGGCCGCGTCGCCGTTGCCCTGGCGTCGCCTCCTGGTAAATGAGGGATTGGGAAGGGAAGCCACGGGGCGATCGCCCGGAGATTTCCAGGAGCGACGAGCCCGGGAGGGTCACGGCAGGAGGTGGCCGAGGGCGAGGGCGCCGGGGCACGGGTGGGGTGCGGCGGGGGGACCTCTCCCCGGGCGGCCTGGACAGCCAGGGATAGAACCGAGGTGGGGACAGAGCTGGGGGAAAGAAGATATGTCATTTATAGACAGTGGGTGGAGTACTACTGTGCCAGAAAGAAGGATAAACGAGTCATTCGTAGGAAAACGGATGCACCTTGAGAGCATAATGTTAAGTGAAGTAACTCAGACACGCAACCTTAAACATGATGATTTGTCTTCTGTGAGAAAGGCAAAGTATAAATAAAGAGCAAAATAAAAAGATAATAGGAAACCAAGTTAGATCTTCCTCAGATGGGAAAGGTGGTCGAGAGACGAGGGAGGGGAAGGGGCAATAAAAGGAACAGTGGTGTGTTTTGTACCTGTGCCCATTCCCCATGACGAGTGCAATCTTTATGTGCTGTAAATATGGGCTAATAAAAGTTAAAAATTCTTAAAACTTGGGGAGAAAGGACCTCCGTCCAGGGTGGGTGCTGGGGCCCCGGAGGGGCAGCATGCTTGGGGTGGACCTGTACCCAAGAGGACAGGCACGGGATGGAGCGCAGGAGGGGACGGAGGGGACCCTGCCAGGGCGGGGGTTGGGGGGGGAGGGGTTCTGGGCTCCGCGCGCTCCGAACGAGGTGAGGGTTCCGCCCACTTCGGTTGGCCGGACCGGCTCTAGGGTGCCCTCTGGACGGTCCCCAAGATGAAGGGGGCCCGGGGCGGGGCAGGGTAGAGCCCGACTGCGAGGACGTGGGCGCCTCTGCGCACTTGCTTCCCAGCGCCTTCCCGAAGGCCGGGTCGGACGCCGGGGCCGGAACTCGCGGAGGTAAAGCGGGTGGGAGCCGAGGGACCGCCCGCCTCTGCAGCCGCAGCCGCAGCCGCAGCCGGGGTTGGAGGACCGGGCCGGACAGAGTCGGGTTTGTTTACGGAAGATGCTCTGCAAAGCCTCTGCCGTCCAGCCCGTCGAGTGCCCGAGTGCCCGGAGACCCTGGAGTCGGTTCTGGTTCTTGATTACTTCATTTGCTTTGTACAGCGCAGTTTTACTAGGCGCTCTGTGTTGGGTCGTGGGTCACATACAAAGACGGCAGAGGCACTTTCCCCGCCAGCAAAGACTACCTGAAAACGAAGACCGGAAGTGAAAGAGTAAATAGGACACACGCGCTTAAATATCACTTGGTTTATCTTCTGTGAGAAACCCAAATATAAATAAAGAGCAAAATGAAGGATAGATAATAGTAGGAAATAGGAACATAGATCTTTGTCAAATGGGGATCAAGAGATAGAGGGAGGGGATAGGAGAGAGGGAAGGGGATGAAAAAGGGAATAAAGATGTGTTATGTACGTGTGCCAGCTCCACACGAGGAATGTAAACATGTACTGCAAACATGGACTGATAAAAACAGATAGATAAGGACAGAAAAGCAAGCTGAGCTTGCAAAACGCAGGCTAGAAAAGGAAGTTAATTTGATGTTATTTTAAAGCTAGCAACAGATAACAAACACTCCTTTAGATGAACACATTTAGAAAGAATGTACTTTAGCATCATGCTACAGCCTGTAAAAGAGAAGATAGGATAAAGGGGAAAATGGGAAAGAATTAAATGCACAAAGTGAGTCCGAAAGACTCTGAGCAGAAAAAAAAAATAACCCAAAGATTTCTCACAGCTCAGGTGCACAATCACAGACAGGGTGTGTGTATGTCTGTACACAGTTAAGAGAGGATATATGATATATGTGTACATGTGCACATATATCAAAAGAAGTAGAAACGATGAGGAAGAAAAACAGACACTAGTTTATAGAGAAGTATTAAGATTTTATAGTTTCCGCTAAAGACATTTTGCAATTATAGGCTTATCTGCAGACTTATGCAAGTACTGTGTAAGTAAAGGATGGGTTAAAAATTATAGATAAATGGAAGGCTTTAGATTTCAATAAACTTGTCATATTCCTACTTCTGGTACTTATGAGCTGCCTGATCTCATGAAATTTACTTAGAATTTCCCGGAGCCTTAGTTTTCTTGTTCTTATCATGGGGATACATTGTTTCTACTTTATGGTTTGTTTAGTCTTTAAATAAAATGTAAATCACTTGGCCCAGTGCATATCTCTAAATGAGTTCAGTAATAGGCAGTAGTAGTAGTAGTAGTAGTAGTAGTAGAGTTTATTTTAATCCTATTTTTTCTGCTGGTCAATTAGGTTAAGGGTTGGATTTGAGCCAGTAGTACTAGTTTCTCTCCTGACTAACATCAGAGTATATACCATGTACTGTACTTACAGGGTCTTGGCAAGTCTAAAGAAATGATGTTCTTTTTAGTATATGGGCATTTGTGTTTGTGGGTGAACTGAGTGTATTTGATCCATGGTCCAGATTCTTCTTATCTGACATGCGTTTGCAAACAAGAAGTTTCCAGAAGCAGGAAGGACCAGAGATATTTCTTTCCTCTTGGTTACTTTTGGTAGTAACAGAGGGGCAAGGGCCATAAATTGTTCCTTAGGAATAATCACCATCTTGGTCAAGCACGGTGGTGCACACCTATATTCCTAGCACTCTGGGAGGCTGAGGCAGAAAGATCACAGTTAAAGCCCAGCCTGGGAAAATTAATAACTTAGCCGGACCCTATCTTAAAACTGAAAAATAAATGAATAAGAAAAAAAGAGACTGGGTTCAATCCCCAGTACTGGAGGAAGAAAGAAAAAGCATCTCTAACAGTTCGTAGTACAAGGGACTTTTCACATCACCTCAGATTCACATTTGCAAACTCCCTTACCCTAGTCTTTCTTCCTCCTGATCATTGGTTGGTTTTTTCAGTTTGCAAAAGGAAGAGTCAACAGAAAAGTCCACACAAAATGGTATGCCTGATGCCAGCAGGGCCATAGGGGTCAAGATGAAAATATTCTCCTCACCTTGTGGTCTGTCTCAGCAGGCCAAGGACCTAGAGGCTCCTAGATTTCCAGTAAACCAAAAACTGCCAGCTCTGGTGTCTCCACACCATGCAAGGACACAGCTCACAGCCCCTCTGACCAGTAGCTGTCCAAAGTGGGCAAGGAGCAGGTGGAGAAGAAGTAAAAGGCATTGGGTCCAAGGCAACCTGTCTAGACCCTTATATGGGTGGGTAGATAGATGCACATGGCCTCCTACACCACATGGAGAGAACCTGGAAGTCCACTTCACTGGGTTGTAGAAAGGATTGTTGTGAAAACCGAACACAAACAGCTTCTAATAGTATCTGGTAGAGTGTTATTGGTAATTTTATTTAGAGTCATTCTAGAACTTTAGGATTAGACATTATAAAACCTCAATCTTAGTGGGAGTGGCAGTGCAGCCTGTAGTCCTAGCACTCTGGAGGGCTGAGGCAGGAGGGTCACAAGTTGTAGCCCAACCTGCACAATTTAGAGACTGAGTGAGACCCTCTCTCAAAGTACAAAATACGAAAAAGGCCTGGGGATGTAACTCACTGTGACAGCTCCAAGTTCAGTCCTCCATACTGAAAAACGAAAACAAGCTCTAGTAATTATCAGTCCTCTTTCCCCACTACCCTAGTCCGGAATGTTAAGATTCTGCACTTTGACTTTGCCATCAAAAAGAAGACAGAATAATACTAAGTGAAATAAATCAGACACACAGGCTTAAATGCCACATGGTTCATCTTCTACGAGAAACCCAAATTATAAATAAAGAGCAAAATAAAAGATAAGTAATACCAAGTAAGGAGATAGATCTTTCTCTAATGGGAAGGGGATTGAGACGGAAGAAGGGGAGGAGGGGAGGGAAAGGGTCTGAGGAAGGAATTAAGATGTGTTGTGTCCATGCATCAACTCCACACAAGGAACATAAACCCTATGTAGTGCAAACATGGACTAATTAGAAATTTATTTTCCTCTCCAGTGACAAGATTTCAAGAGTTTTAGGTCAGGGTGTCTCAGGAAAGTGAGTTTCAGTTATGCCCCTATTCTTTCTTAAATGCTGGTGGTTATTCACAAGGCAGAGTGGACCAGAAAGAAGACAGACCTGGGCAGTATCTAGTTTGGAGGAAATATAAGGCTGTGGTTGCCCTGGGCACATTTTGCCTGCATGATCTGTATTTGGAAATGGCAGTGAGTCATAGGAAAGGCATGACAAGCTGTACTTGGTGAAAACAGAATCTGAGGTCCACTGAGTTTCAGTCGCTGGCCTGAGAGAAAGGGCTGGTGAAAGTCAGAGAAAGGAGTCAAACCTGCCTGTTCCTCAAAGCCAAAGTCTTTCCACGGTGCCATTCTGCTGCCATTCATCAAAAGACCCAACTCAGTGGCTACATGTCATTGCACAAATGTCCAGTGAATGCAAGAATCCATTGGATCATTCATTCGGAGGAACAGTATATTCCACATCCACGGTCCCTAGATGTCTACCATGCTCCAAACTGAACCTCTGATCTTCTCAACTGTCCCCTTCCTCACAGTCTTTTCTGTCTCCATGGAAGGCAACTTAATCCTTTCCTGCCTCAGCTCTTTATTTCATACCCCACACCTAATCCATCACCCAATCTTGTAGGTTCGCTTTGAGGATATACCTAGAATCAGACCACTTCTCTCCACCTTTTCTATCCCAAAGGGACCCCATTATCTCTTGTCTCCCAATAGCCTCCTATCAGATCTCCCTGTGCAATTGTTATGGTTTAGATCTGGAGTGTCCCCCAAAAGCCTCATGTATACGAAAGGTAATTGGAGCAGAGGAGTGCTACACTGATAGTGGTCTAATGTACGAATGATTTCAGTAACTACTAAAATGTGCTTGATTGTTGGCTTGATTGTAGGCAGGTCACCAGGGGTGTGACCTAGAAGAGTTTATCTTCCTCCTTGCTCTTCCTTTGCTCTCTGCTTCCTGCTCTCCACGAAGTGAGCAGCTTTCCTTTGCGGCAGGCCCTTCTTCCGTGCCATTTCTGCGTCTGAGCCAGCCAAGTATGGACTGAAACTTCTGAAACCATGAGCCAAAATAAACCTCTCCTCCTTTAGGTTGTGGGTGTCAGGTATTTTGTCCCAGAAGCAAAGAAATTGACTAAAACAGCAGCCCTCACACTCTTTTATAGTCTCTTCTCAGTTTAACAGTGATTTCACTGAGTAAATGGCAAATGGCCTACCAAGCCAGAGCAGACTGAAACTTGTTCCTTCTCTGTTCTCATCTATCGAAATCCCCTTTGTTCACTGTGCTTATATTCCTCTGGTGCCCTTACTGTTTCCCAAACACTCCCAGCATCTTCCCTCCTTAGAATGTATTTTTCCACATACCTTGCCTTACGTGGCACTTACTATACATCAAATGATGACCGAAGGCTGGACGTGTTAACTCATCTGTGTACCCTACAAAGTAGGCACTCTTCTTGTCACCCCTTTTTAAAGCCAAAAGAATTGAAGTGTGAGTTCTACAGGACATTAGGAGATTCAACGCTCTTAGTCACTGAGGCTGTGCCAACTCTAAAGATGATGTCTTTAGATGTCTTCTTTCCATCTCTTTTGTTCTTCACCAACTCTTCATTAATCAGTTGGAAGACAGATGCACGTGGAAGTATGGAAATACAACAACTTCCAGAGACTGATGATTCCATTCACATGTTCTATGGTGTGCTAGAGATATGGAATCAGAGCCAATATCTGTTATTAGCAGTTGGCTTACTGAAGAATAAATTTACACAGCCAGCCTAAAATACAATACCTTGTTCTTGTGTTCCTGTCACGGCATACCTTTTTTTTTTATAAACTCCTGAGTCCTTTTTTGTAGGGAACAGGGAAAGGGGACGTTACTAACACCTCTGCAGTAAGTCCTAGTCTCCTGCGAGCCATGGCAGCACAAGGTGAATTACAGGAAAGGTAGAAAAATGAGCCTGAGAAGAAGCTGAGCTTTGGATCTGATCAGTGCTGCTCTGGGTGGCAAAGACAAAAGCACCCAGCTTACCACGCCTTTTATTCAGTACTCAGTACATCGGGAGAAGCAGATGTAACAAATGACTTGCAGAGAGTTCAGTACATCTGCATAAACAAGATGGTAACAGTCCAAGAACAATGAGGAACTGTGAGTAGATGTTTGTTCCTCCCAGGATGTTTTCAGCTCCCGGGATGTTTCTTGTCCTTAAGAATCACAGCATCACTGGATCATTGAGGTCTCAGTTGTGACCAGAGGCCAAAATGGAATTATGTCTCAGAATTCCATAACTGGGCTGTAGGCAGGAGAACTAGGCTAGGGTAACCAAATGATTTTTTCCTAAAATTATGTAGCATTGCTCCAGACACTTTTTCCCAAAAATGCATAAATCTTTATAATTCTCCACATAAAAGTCACACAAACTCTTTGAGAAATCTGAGGGTCCCAAAATGTAGAAATCAGAATAAGAATTAGAATAAGTAGGAAGGTACTTATGATATAGGACCTCCAAATAATATAGGGAAAAATAACATAACTCCCAACCTGCTAGATGTCTGATACACCAAGTTCGTGTTCCCAAAACTGAAGAATGAATTCTGAGGAACAATGGAGGTTAAGAGTAGAAAATATTTATCGAGGGGGAGATATATCACTACTGAGAGAGATAGGAGGGGACCCAAATGAGTTGTCAGTGAGCTCACTTTACAGAGGTTTTATGGAGCAAAATCATGAAGTGGGTACAATATGGGACAAAACTATGATCAACCAATAGAATTACAAGTATAGCCATGTAAGTGATATTAATCCAATGGGGAAGCAAGTCACATAGCATGGAAAGAACAAGGACCTTTTTGGAAAAGATGATTCAGGAGGTGTTGGTCAACCTCCCAGGTGACTGATGCTTATCTAGACTTATTGGACCAGGTAATATTAATCATAGTATGTTGCTTATCCCTCAGGGAGGTATGTAGGCATTCCATCTTTACCTTGAGGCCTGGCCTTCACCTCCAGGCACAGTTGTAATGTGTTCTTTTCTTCTGCACTGACCCTTTCAAGGGCCTAGCCTTGTTTGACTTCCTTTATTTCTACCTAACTTAGCTGTTTATAATACTTGCCTTGGGGAAAAAATTTAACAGAGAGGCAAAAACTCAGTAATCAAAATAAGCAATATTTTAATGCAGTATTCCAGAAAGTGAAAATTAATGCAACAAATCTAGGATGAACAGAATGTCAAAATTTTAAATAAAGACAAGGTCTAAGTTGTTGTGGTGGTGCATGTCTGTAATCTACTTGGAAGCCTGAGGCAGAAGGATCACAAATTTAAGGCCAGCTTAGGCTATGCAGTGAGACCCTCTCAAGGAAAGAAAGGGAAAAAAAGAAAAGAAAAAAGGGAAGGAAGAAGGCAGAGGGAGGGAAGGAGGGTGAAAAGAAAAATAAGAAAAGGGCAGGGGATGTCACTCAATAGTTGAGCATGTGTGGTGTGAGGCCCTAGGCTCAGTTCCCAGTATGGAGATAGGGAGAGGGAGAGAGACAGACAGACAGACGGACAGATCTGTACACCAGAATCAGAGTGAGGTAAGGGAAGCCCTGACTCTGAGAGTCATACAAGTGCAGTCAAATCCTTTCTGTAATCAAAATTTTGATATTTTGATATTTTGTCTATTTTACAAAAGTCAATGTCATTTTGTTGTGGGATTTTAACAGACAAGAGAGACCAACAGGTGATACAGGAGGATGTTTATTTTAGGTGAACACCAGCCCAATGGACTCGCATCCAAAGGTTGAGCCCAGAGCAAAGGAAAGGTTCCAGTTTTATACCTGTGGCTGAGGAGGTGGTCTTTCTAGTGGTGCAAAACTGGGGTGAGGTAGGGTGGGCAAGTGAGGTTACAGAAGCAAGACAAGAGCGGACATAACCAATTAATCATTCAGCGACCACCTTGTAATTTAGCCTTGAAAGAAGACAGAGCCTTGTGAATCTTGTGAGAACAAGATTACATAAACTTTGTTTACAGGACATAGTTGCCAATTTTATCTGTACCAGAACAAAGAGTTTCAGTTATAGGAGCGGGCAGGTGATTGGGAACAGACTGCTCAAGGGTGGGGAAAACTTGTTTTCCTTTAAGTCTTCTTTTAATTTGACATTTTGTTTTATTAGCCAGTCTTCTGTCACTGTAACAAAATATCTGAAATAGTCAAGTAAAAGAGAAAGTTCTATTTTGGCTCACAGTTTTGGGGGTTCCAGTCCAGGATCAGCTGACTCCATTGCTTCTAGCCCATGGTGAAACAACACATCATAGTGGGAGTGAGTAGTGGAGCAAAACTGCTCACCTCATAGCCAGAAAGCAAAAAGCAAGGAAGTGGAAGAGAACAGCTTCCATACTTTCCTTCTAGGGAAGCTCCAGTGACCTACAAACCTCCCACCAGGCCCCACCTTCTAAGGGTTCCCTCTCTTCTCAATAGCACTACCTTGAAGACCAAGTCTTTAATACAGGGGCCATTGAGAGAGATTTGATATCCAAACTGTAATGCTTATCATACATTTTTCCCACATTAACTTGAAATTTAAAAATTAGTCCTTTTGCATGTTATTTATCTTGGTAAGTAAGTTGTTGTTTTGGGAATTCCTTAAGTTTTACAGCTAAAATTAGTACCTCATTCATCTAATCCTAACCCAAACCTGATCAGAATGAGAGGAGAGATTGTGCCAAATCAGAAGTAACCACTATTAATGTTTGGTGAATACCTTTTTAAACAACTCTTCATTTTTTTATCCATTTTTTATCCACACTAAATAGTGGCTTTTTTTTACTTATATGGTAGACAGATAAATAGTAACAAAAGCATCATTTTAAGGGGCCACATGGCAATCTATTTCATGAGTATACCATAGTTATTTAATCAACTCCCTGTTTATTAAATGACACTGAAAAACATTTTTGTCCTGCATGTCTAATATTTTTTTAAATAAGTTCCTAGTATTGGAATTGCTGGATCAAAAAGTTTGTGTGTGTACTGCTTTGTAAAGCCAGAAAGCCTTTGAATTTAGCGTCTTTAGACAATGTTTACAGAATTCTTTAAAATCTGCTTCCTTTTCTTTGATCAGGGCCAGGAGACAAGATGACATCACAGGTCTTGCAGGCTTCAGTGAATTTTGAAGGTAAGAAGAGATGAATGCTCGAGTTCTTGCTTTGTGCCCAATACTGTTAGGTTCTGAGGCAATTCAGACAGCAAAGGAGAACACTCCACAATAAGGATAAGGGGCAAAGACTGTATAAACTACCTGCAGAGAAGATTCTTCTATTTAATTTTAATTAAGCTTCAGATCAGTAGTGCATGAAGTTGTCATATTTAACTAGGTTGCTACAGTGTCTCAAGACAGTTAACTCAATTATTTGTCATAATGAAGGACAAGAATACTTAAACTTTATCAAAATCTGCCTTCTTCTCTTCTTTACCACCCTCCCTCCTTACCCTCCTCATTCTTCATAAATATAGAAGAAATTAGAATTTTGTTAGTATAAGAGGAATAATTTTGTTTTTACTTACAAATTTGCCAAAGGTTTAACAGCTGGATAACCCCAAGTGTGTTCCAAGCGGTGATGCTTGATAAACATCTACTTTGGAGAACAATTTGGGGCTCTCTGTATTTAGAATTAATGTGTTTATATGCAAATAACATTGTGCAACAGTGATGTGGCTTAAATATGATGAATATTTATTTCTTCAGGTACAGCAAGGAAAGGAAGGGAGGAACCAAAGGAGAAAGAAAAGGAGGAGGGAAAGAAGGGGGAGAAGGAAGGAAGTAAGGAGAGTAAAAAGGAGAAGTGAGAGCCCAGGGAAAGCACCCCACATGCAACCCCCTAGGGGACTCTGCTGGCTGTGCCTTTTAAATGTACCCAGAACCCAACCACTTCCCACCATCTCTGCTTCTGCCATGCGTGTCTGAGCCACCAGCAGCTCTTACTGAAGTACTCTGGTTGCAACCCTGATCCCCATCTGAGTTAATTCTTGTCTACCAGCACAGTAGTAAGTGGGTAGACCACAGCACTCCTCTGTTCAAAGTGCTCTGGCGGAGCTCCGTTTTACTGAGAGTCAGTGCCTAAAGATTTGAGACTGCCCACAGACACTACAGTCTGCCTCTTAACTGCTGTCCCCCTTGTTCACTCCATTTCCGCTACAGTGGCCTCCTTTCTCTCCCTTGAATACACACCAGGCCTGCCCCAGGGCCTTTACACTGACTGTTACCACAGCCAGGAATACTCTCCCCCAGATATCCACATGGTTACCCCTAAACTCCCTGAATGGAGTCCACCCCACCACTCCACTTAAAATTGCTCACCCCAGCCCCTCTGTCTCCTGCTTTATTTTTTCCTGGAGAACTTTGTTACCTTATAACATACTGTAACATTGCCTACTGTATTTATTTTTTATTGTCTGTTACCAATACACACATGTGTACACACACACACACGCACATGCACGCCTCAATATATAGGTCAGTATAAAGTCCTCAAGGTCAGGCATCTTTGTTTGTTCACAGTGTGTCATCAGTGCCTACAACAATCCCTGGCACATAGTAGAGCCTTCATAGGTGTTTCTTGAATAAATGAATGAAAGAATTAGGACCAGGCAAGAGTGCCAGTAAGGGGCAAAGCTAAGAAAGGAGTGAGGCTGTGTGAGTGTGACAGACAGAATAACATCCCCCAAATATGTCCATTCCTAACCCCTGGCACCTGTGAACATATTATCTTCCATGTCAGAATGGACTCTGCAAAGGCGATTAAGTTAAGAACCTGGAGGTGGGAATCTGGCCTATCTGGTGGGTCTGTTTGATCTGGTGGTCTAATGGATCTGGTGGTGTGCTCGAGAGAGAGGCAGGAGGGCCTGGGACAGAGAAGGGGCCAAGATAATGAAAGTAGAAGCTGGGTAGTGCACTTTGAGGTTGAAGGAAGGGGCCACAAGCCAAGGAATATGGGCAGCCCCTAAAGTCTGGAAAAGAAAGTCTCCTCTGTGGCCTTCAGAGGAAGACAGCCCTGCCAACATCTTGATTTTATTAGTCTTATTCCAGACTTCTGAGCTCCGCAAGGATAAGAGACTAAATGTATATGATTTTAAGCCACTTGGGTTTGGGTGATTAGTTACAGCAGCCCAAGGAAACTGAGAGACTGAGGCAGGGAGAGAAAGGCTTCATCAAGGCAGGGAATTAGTAATGGCATGGATTTGTAAAGCAGCCCACAGAAGCATGTAATGGAGACGAAATGTGGGGGTTAGAGTAGTCAGGGTTCAGTGAATGGAATCTGACTTGGGGAACTCAGAAGATCCCTTATCGCCAAAGTGAGGTTCTGGAGAGAGGCCGGGCCCAGGGTCAGCTTGTTCAAGAGCAACAGAATGAGACTCTGGAGAGGCAGGAGGCTGTGGGCAGTGGTAGAATGTGGTGCACATTGGGACTACAGGGTGGCGAAGAGGTTGAATGTGGCCCCTGAGATACGTCCACCCAGGGCGAAAATGTGAATTTATTTAGAAAAGAGGTCTTTGCAGAAGTAATTAAGGTAAGAATCTTGGAATGAGGTCACCTTGAATTTAGGGAATGCCGTAAATCAACTGGCATCCTTATAAGAGAACAGAGGAAGTTTGAGGCTCACATGTGTGAAGATGGAGGCAGAGACTGGGGTCTATAACCCAAGGAATTCCAGGAATTGCTGGCAGCCACTGGAAGCTGAGAGAAAGTCATGCACCACATTCTCCCTCAGAGCCTCCCAAAAGCCCAGCATCACCAACACCTTGATTTTGGATGTCTGGCCTCCAGAACTGTGAGGGAATGAATTTCTCTTGTTTTAAGCCACCTCCTTGTAATTTGTAATGGCGGCCCTAGTTCCATGTGAGCAGGAAACTAATATAGGGAGAAGATTAGCTGGGGACTAGTGCTTATAGTGAGCTTGCTTGGTGCGGTGGTTGAATGGTGGCTCCCACAAATGATCAGCCATCATGTTCTAATCCCTGGAGCCTGTGAATGGGACCATATTTGAAGAAAGCGCCTTGTAGATAAAAATCAAGATAACCGTCTTAGGAGGAGACCAGCTTGGACTTAGGGCTACCCAAACTCAGGTATTTTGTTAGAGTAACAGAAAGTGGACAAGTACAAAGACATAGTTTTGTGGTAACTTATTGCAGCAGCCATAGGAAACTAATATACTGGGAGCTCAGAAGTTTAGCTCCCTTTCTATTTCTCTATAGGTGAAATGAACTTGGGTTTGGAGTTGAAGAGAGGAAATATCATCATGTCAGTTCCAGGACACTTAAATTTAGTCAGTGGAGACTTTCATTCAGGAAGTAAAGACTTAAGCACCTGTGGTAGGGTGGAATCTAAGTTTGTAGGGACTCTTGGGCAAGAGGTAACTGGCTGGGGCAGAAGTGTCCAGCCTCCCAGTGACTCACCCGTAGGGGACATGAGTGGCCCATGCTGGGGTGTCTAGGGCCCATGTCTGGCCTGGAAGTGGTGATGGAGGGTACAGGTCCACAGATTCTGGCAGAATCACTGTTTTAGGCAATGTTCACCAGAAATACAGAACCAATAGGAATGAGGTTTACTATGGGAAATCAGCTCTCGTGGCTATGGAGACAGAGTCCCATCTGCGAGCTAGAGTCCAGGAGAGCTGGTTGTATAATTTGGTCCGAATCAAAGGCCCCATTACCAGGGGAGCCATGATGTCAGTGCCAGTGTGGGCGCAAGAGAAGGTGAGGTGAGATGTCCCACCTCACGGAGGTGGAGAAGAAGGGGCAAGTTCTTCCTTCCTTGGCCTTTTCTTCTACTCAGGCCCTCGTGGATTATATTTTGCCCACCCACCCTGGAGAAGGAGGTTGACTTTCCTAAGTCCACCAATTCACATGCTCTCCACATCCAGAAATGCCCTCACAGACACATCTAGAAATTGTGTTCAGTCCAGGTATTCTTTGACCCAGCCAAGCTACCACATAAAATTGAGCATCAGAGCCATCCAACCCCAAGTCCCTTTGGGTCCTCAACCTCAGTTGACCCCAGTGTTAGCCAGGCTCTCCCATAGTCCTGCTGTCCTCAAGCCCTGCTGTCTGGACCCACACTCAGCTTCCTCTGCTCCATTTACCAGAAAGCTTGCATGTCTGAGCCTTACAGGGCCTCAAGGTCTAACCATCTGTACTTTTGCTCTTGCCAGCTATGACCCCCTCTAGCAGGAGAGCTCCCCACCTGGTTAGTGCTCCATCAGCCAGATCTAATGAGTTTCACTCCCCTACTGAGCCATAGAATCACTCAACAAGTTGGTCACGTCCTCCTGTGAGAACCTGGAGACACTTTACTCTGTTACTTTTACTTTGCAACTTTTTCTCTCGTAAATCCATGGCCCACCAAAACAAACAACATATATATATTTTTTCTATAAGCCCAGCCACTCCCGTTTCCCCAGCTGAATCCCTGGACCAATGGCCACTTATTGGGTAGCCGACAAGCTCTAGTCCACTAATTCTTGCCCCTGGCCCCACATTATAGCCACATGAGGCAAGGGACTCTCAAAATATTCCAATACTTTGCAAAACTGAGGATTGAACTCAGGGCCTTTGAACTAAGTTAAGTCTCTAGCTCCTTTTTAAAAGTTATTTTTTATTTTGAGACAAGGTCTTGCTAAGTTGCTAAGTTGCCCTGGCTGGGCACAAACTTGCAGTCCTCCTGCCTCAGCCTCCTAGAGGGCTGGGATTACAGGCGTTCACCACCATGCATGGCTAAAATATCCCAATGCTGACACTGGCTTCGTCACTTAAATCAGGATGTCTGGGAGTGGAGCCAGGGTGATTCCAGTGGTCCTAGGCCAGAACCAGAATTTCTTCACCAGCTTCTACTTGCTCAGAAGACCTGGAGCCTTTTTTGTGAGGTGCAGGTGGATGAGGACACGGGGTGTGGGTGGGGAATGTGTCCTCTGGTATATTTCCCAGGATTCCTGGTCTTCGCTACTGGTTTATAAAGGGTTCTCTCTCCACTACTACACCCCCCAAACATTAGAAAGCAAGAAATAAATTAGGAAGAGAAAGAAGGACTTTCTAGCATTTCAGATTTAATGAATAAAATCAAAATACACAGCAATGCAACTTATTTGTCACTCTTATCAATAGTTGCCTTCTTTTTTATTAAGTGTACAAGTCCATGGTTTTTAGGTGTATTCACAGGTATGTGCTACCATCACCTCAGTTGGTTTTAGAATATTTTCATCACTTCAGAAAGAAATCCTGTACCCTCTTGCCCCTGTCCCCATCTAGCCTTGAGCACTCACTAAATTCCTGTCTCAATGGATGTGCCCATTCTGGTCATTTCATACAAATAGAATCCTATCCTACATGGCCCTTTGATGCTAGCTTCTTTCACTTAACAGAATATTTCCATGTTGTAGTCTATACAAGACCATACTTCTCCCTTTATATGACTGAGTAATATTCCACTGAATAGATATACTGTAAGTCCTCAACTTATGGATATTCAAGTTGCTGACTTTCACAGATAGGAATAAACCTCACATTACAGATATTCATAGATGTGAACAAATTACAAAAGTATCTCACATGTCTGCCAAACAGTGTCACAGTTGTGCTGCTTTGTGCTTACTATACAGTGTGATAGTGTACAATAGTACGGTGCTCAATCAGAGCCCAGAATGTCTGAAAGCAAGACAAAAAGCAGTGGTGATGTGGACAGGACTGCTGAGAAGTGCAAAGGAATATACAATGTATATTTGTGTCAAAAGTGTATAAGACTCACTTTGCTGGACTAACAAAACCGACTTACTATACCACATTTTGTTTGTCATTCATCAGTTGATGGATGCTCAAATTGTTTCATTTTCATCTTTTGGCTATTATGAATAATACTAAACATTCATGTACAAGTTTTTTGGTAGACGTATGTTTTCTTTTTCTTGGGGTATATACCTTGCAGTAGAATTGCTGAGGTCTACGGCAAGCCTGTGTTCAACATTTTAAGGAACACCAGATTGTGTTCCAAAGTGAGTCCACCATGTCATGGTGTCACCAGCCATATTGGAGGGTCCAGTTTCTCCACATCCTCACCAGCACTTGTTAATGTCATCGACTTTCTTTTTCAAGACTCTCTGGTTTGGACTGAGGCTCCCCCCAGGGCAGTGGCTGTGTGCACTGCTGCAGAAGTGGGGATATAAAGACACTGCTCAGTACATTTGTAGTGAGGAGAAGTGATATCTTCATATCTCAAAATAGGATCCCATTACTCTCATAAAAGCCTTTGTATTTTATCATCTCATTCACCCATGAAGCACTAAATACTGTACTTGGTGCCATGGGAAAGACAATTGCAGTGGCTCTGGCCCAACAAGTCCAAGACCTGCATCTCCAATCCCAGTTAGGGAGGCAAAGGTTGTCTGTGTCCTCCCTTCCCAGCAACCCCTATATCCTACACACTCTTCCCCTGCTGGTGAGGGCCTTATCCTTCTGGCCAACTGAGGAAAGATGAGTCTTTCTTTCTTGCAGATAATATAAAGGATGACTCAACCAAAAAGGACAAGCCTTATAAGATCTTTTTCCAAGATCTCTTTCTCTACAAACAAAATGAATTGGCAGCAAAGAAAAAGGTAAGGCTTTATAAAAAGGATTATAACAATTAATGTTATAATCATACCCTCTTATTTATCACTCTCGTGAGCTTTTATAGATTATGACATGGTCTCAGGTGTTGACGCAGGTGGAGTGTGCCAGCACTGTTCTGGAGAGACAGTGTGAAGGCAAAGAAAGGTCACAGCGACCTCTAGCACACAGCAGGAAACTGCAAAGGTCGCTACCCAGTGGGGGAGACAGATAAGCCACTAACAACCCAATATGACAATTACCAAGTACCCTACTTCATTGACTCTAACAGCCACATTTTGTCATTTCTAAAATTGAATCTAGCTTACATAGATGGGGTGCCACACATCAGTAGCCATGCATAAAATAATAATGTATTCTTACAATGAATGCACCTCAGAGTTGATGAACTACCATGACAAAACAGAATTATTTAGAATTATTTTAGAATTATTTTGTACAAAGCTAAATCAGCAATGAGGCCAGCCCTCCTACAGGTCTTGCAGTGTTAATCTCCCTAGTTGTATGATCGTAGCCTACATGACCTGGGTCACATTTCAGGAAATTAACTTTCTTTCCTCCCAGAGGTAAAGGTTGATTGCAGGACCTTCTTCACCCTATGTAGAATGAAGAAAATATTTAGAAATGCTACTGGGTGATGGCTTTTTGCATGTGTTGTGTAGCTTTGTTGAATTTAACCCAAAATTAAATTGAGAAAATACAAATGAAATCCGAACCACATACAGTACACACCCCCCACACACACACACACTATAGAGGTCCATTTCCTCTCAAGTTTTCCATTCTATAGAGCTACACCTTGGAATCTCCACACTTTACCTGTCTTTTGGGCAACCAGAAGGACATCACCCAGTTTGTGAGGTACAGTTTAATAAAGGTTAACTTTTTTAACGTTTTTGCTCAGCTTCATAGGAAATTTCCATCATTTCAGGAAAATGAAAACTATTCACATTCCTTCAAGGATAAGAGCTTGGGTTGCTTGTTTAATGTTAATATCATTTGTTGCAAATGATATTTTTATGTATGATCAGTATTCTAATAGAACATTCCATTTGGTACATTTAAAAATTCTTTTGAACCTTTCCACATTTACAGGAAAAAATTTTGAACCGTAGCATGAAAGTCCACCAGAAAACTACTTTCTCATCCCGAATGAAGAGTCGCTCACACCTGAGCCAAATAGCTTTCCACTCTGACACAGATGATATCTCATTTGAAAAACTGGGGCTGGATCCGATGCTTATTCTGAAATTAACAGAAAGTAAGTTGAAACTGCTTTTTGTTTAAGAACATTGGTTTAGATATTTACCATTTGGGGTTTGGGTCCTTTTCTCAAGGTGAGAAAAACAGAAACTATTCCATCTTACAGTGGTGGGGGAAGTGTTTGCAAATGAAGGTTGAGAATCAATAGAAAATCTATTTTAAATACGAAAATGTACGCTTCCAAAAAGACCGAGTGTTGCTCATTTTCCTGACTCTCGAGAACGCAGTCACTACTAAACAGTATTAAAGTTGGCAATGGTGGAAAAAAGAGAAAGATAAGAGCTCTGGCCATTCATGCTCAGTTTTAGAAGTAGAAAGATAGAAACTTTCTCAGGATGGAGAAGCCTGTACTGTTCATAGAACTCATATCTCCAGAATCAGAAAGCTAATAAAATTAAATAACTTTACTTGTTACTGGAAAAACATACCTGTTCTTAATGATTTTAGAAGGCAGCATGTTAAAATCCTACAAGATGGCAACCATTGCTCTACGGAAGAGGGCAATCTGGTTATCAAAACTGTCTGAGCGACTCCTACTTTGATCAAGAAGGGAATATAAATGAGATAGAAAGTAGTCTGATGCTAATGAAGTTAAAGTGACTGGTTGATAGTCATAAAATCTTTCCCCAACCTGGATCTTTTTCAAATTTTTTTGTTGTTGTTTTTTTTGGTACCGGGTCCTTGTGCTTGCGTAGCAGGCAGTGAAACCACTGCGCTAAATCCCCCTCCCCTTTTTCAAATTTTTGAATAAAAAGCTTTAAAAAGGATGGACAGATACATCTAAGTTATCCAGGATTTGTTGTGGTAACTTAAACCATTTTTTTTCCTCTGGTTCCCAAAGCCCATGTACTTTCCAAAATTATGAAAAAAAAAAAAAAGCCAAGTGCACACCTGTAATCCCAGCACTTGGGAGGCTGAGGCAGGGGGATCACAGTGAGTTCAAGGTCAGCCTGGGCTACATAGTGAGCTCTTGTCTCAAAATAAAAGAAACAAATCTCCAGAGAACAAGTAACCACTCAGAATGAAAAACTGGATTTTAACAATTAATGTAGAAAAAGAAAGCCACCTAAAGTAATTTCAAAGATCTTAGAGGTGAGTATACAGTTGCAAAAAAATAGGCTGTAACAAATAATGCCAATGACTAGGTTATACCTAGGCTCAACCCTGAGTCTTAGAAGTCACCTCTGCAGAATGATAAACCCATGGTTACCAAGAGTATTAGGTTTAGGAAAGAGTTCTACACAAAGAAGCTGACTTCAAAAATCCTTGCCACTCCAGCAGTTCTGAGGTCACCAGAAAGAACAGTTTTTTAGAAGACCTGATGTTACTGGTGTCTTAAGAGCAATTGCCTGGTTTTACAACACCACAAAGCATCTCTGCTCTATCTGTTAAGCTCGTCTACGTTTAAAATAAACTCTTCCAGTTTTTAAGCTTTCATATAAAATTGTTTTGCATAAAATGAAATAAACTTATAATTTTTTATTTTGACATGGATAAACTATCTGCATCTGTTCAAAAATACGTTGAGAAGAAATTCTGAGTACCATTTTACTATTGCAGATTTACTTGTAATTTATATCTATCTTACATTGTTTGTTCATTTTCTAATAAACAAGATTGTACTATGTTTTAAAAAAAAAAAAAAAGTAATTGCCATAAGACAGACTCTTGAAAAGGAAGTAGTGGAATTGCCTGGCATTACTCAGGGCGAATTGGGCTCTGGCAGCCATGGATACCAGACAATCTGGAAATTTTCACTTAGACATCTCCCTTGAATTATATTTCTGATCAGGAGCTATATGACCAAGATCCCTGTTCCTCAGTCTTACAATCCTTGCCTGCATTGTGATTGAAAACAAACCTACACAAAGTAAAAGAAGCCAAGACCCCACTTTGGGAGCCTCAGTTATTTTAGTTTTTCTGTATGCAGTAGAGGCAAATTGCTAGGTCACCCTCAAAGGCAGCCATCGTGGACAAATTAGTTTGCTCAACCGCAGAAGTGTCATTTCTGTCTCTGTATGCAGCCCTACCTTGGTTTGCTCTCAAGACACCATCTCTGAGTCTGCATAGGCCCAGCTCTTTCAGCCTGCTCTTTTCATTCCCAGTGAGCAGTGAAGGGGCCCTGGTGTTAAGGAACACCACTGCTTTGGAGGAGGCTTTATTAGGTGAGTCTTGGTGGAAATAGCTGCCCGAGAGCTAGAATAGCCCAAAAGGGAACCCCACTGTAGCGAGTCTTACTAGGATAGAAAGATAAAATTCCATCTATGCCACCAGCCAGTGCTGTGTTAAAGTAGCTGGCACTCGAAAAAGTTGACAGCACTCGATTTGGGGGGATGAAATGTATTTTCCATTGGGCTGGCCTATCGTGAGTGACCAAATGAAAGCAACAGCAAGCACTTTCATCCTTCTGTTAAAGATACTTGAGTAAATTGCACCTGAACCTAATCAAGTAAATACGAGAGACCGAAGATTGTGCTAAATGACATCATGAGAACACCAATATGCTAGATCCTTATATGGGAAATTCTACAGGGAAACTGGCCTCCTTTTTGGACAAGTGAATGAATGGCACATGGGCAAAGACCGTGGAAGTGAAGGTGACTATGACAGATAAGAAGGAGACCTGCCAACCAAATTGATCTTCAGATTTTAATTTTTACAACATGGGAAGATCTAGTTGAGGCTGGCTAGGAGATCACACTAAGGATTTGTGAGTTTTTTAAAAGTGAGAGTGGTGTGGTTATGTTTTTAAACTGTCTTGTCTGGTAGAGTTACATACTAAAGTGCTTATGTTTTAAACGACCCAAGTGTTTTTATTTTCTTTAAAATATTGCAGTGAGGCCAGGGATTTAGCTCAGTGGTTTCACTGCCTGCTATGCAAGCGCAAGGACCCGAGTTCGATCCCTGGTACCAAAAAAAATAAAATATTGCAGTGGAGAGAATGATCAGGGAGAGATGGCAAGAGATAAGACTGGCAAAGTACTGTTAATGTTGGCATAGGTGACAGGTACATGGGTTCCATTAAATGACTCTACTGTCATGAAAGTTGGTGATTTCCATCATATACAAATTTTTTGTTTGTTTGGGTTGGTTTTTTTTTTTGGTACTGGGGATCAAACTCGGGACCTTGAGCTTGTGAGGCAGGTGGCAGAACCACTGAGCTAAATCCCCGGTCCACCATATACAATTTTAAGAAGTATTAAAAAGATACCTGTGTGCTGGGTGTTGATGACTTTGACATGCATTTTATTTCATCTTCAACAAAATGCCGTTAGATATTTCTGCCTCCTTTTTGCATCTTATGAAAGTGACTCGGTGAGGCTGAATCACCCAAAATCTCTAAGAATTCAAATCAGCTGGTTTGACTCCAAACTTTGTCATGTGTTACCTCCCACATAATGTTGATTAATGCGTCTAGTAATCACTCTTGCCATCATTACTGACCTTAGTAATTAAATGATTACTCATTCTAATTGTATTATTTAAGCAGTATAGCTAATAACTATTAAGAAGTTACTGTGTTTTGTAATCTATTGCCTCATCTCCTTCTCCCAACACCATTATGAAAGAGAGTGATATAGCTGTGTGGCCTAAGTTATGCTTTGACAATAAGCTACTCCTACATTTCAGTGGTTTACATTCTCAGAGGTTTGAATTCTCACTCACTTTTCAAGTTCAGTGCTTTTCCCTGGATTTTCTGTTGAAGGAACATCCCATGTCTGGGACCCAGCTACGATTACAGCCCAGGGAGAAAGAAAGAAATGAGTGCTGATTCTTTGTTTCCTCTTGGAAGCAACATAGATCTAGTCCACATCCATTCCGTGGCCAAACACCTGACATCAACCAACGGGGCAGATAACCTTCTCACAGACAGAGACAGCAGATAGTTGGGGACATTAATATAATCCACCAGTTAGCATCCTCATTGGACAAATGAGGAAACTGAGGCATGGAGAAGCTAAGTACTTTACTTATGGCTCCCAACTAGTGAGCATTGGAGGCCGAATGTGACCCAGGAAGACTTAGGCCTCCTAGTTCAGCACAGACTCACTGGTTGTTTAAGAAAAATTATTTTATTTCTACTTTTATTTACATTGTTATTGAGAGACTTTGTTCCATGCCTCATTCTGTTGATTTTTCATGAAGCAAATATTGAAATGTGGCAGAAATGTAATTTTCCAAAATGAAGAAGAAACCTTGAGAGGAAATTGCTGGTATTTCCTGTTTAGTTTTCTGCATGGTAAAACTAGTTGTCCTATTTTCTTATCCTCCTGTAACTTTGGTGTGTGGTTCCCCCAAACCCTGCATCTGAGGACTTCTGTTTGCACAGCAGGCGGCAAAACCACTGAGCTAAATCCCTGGCCCCAAAAGTTCAGTCTTATTCTGTGCTTCCCAGGCTGAGGAGACGGTTCCCCATCCCTGCCACTTGTCATCTTTGTGATCTTGGAGAATTCTGACCTCTCTAAGCTTCAGGAAGCAGACAGGATGGACTAGTAACTAATATCTTATTTGGGTTGGATTAGGATTAAGTGATATATTTAAAGCATTTAATAAAATTCCTAGAATATGACTGGACACAAAATAAATGATAATTACTATTATTAATTTATGAGTGATTAAGAAAAATCTTATGGCAAGGTACAGCTTTTTAAAGCCCAGATATATACTACAGTATATGTAATAACTTATGCTAACTTTTACTCCATACGACGTCTTTGAAGGATAATGAACTAAACCTAAATTTATTTAAATGTTCCTTACAGCTGCAGACACTAAAAGGACTCTCCATGAATTTATTAGTGACCAGAGAGAGAGGTTTCTACTTGAGGTAGTAAAAATAATTCATTTCTCCCATTAGCCAACAGAAAACTTCCTACATAGCATTGCCAGATATTTAATTTAATATTGTATTTTTCTGTTATGTATCCCAAATATATTGTTAAACAGATTGGTTCATTCCTGTGTTCATTCATTTGAAAAATATTTCTTGAGTGCTTACCCTGGGCCAACCAGTGAACAAAACAAAGACCTTGCCCTCAGGGAGCTCACATTTGAGTGATCTATCAAGAAAATTATTCTAGAGGATGTCTGTTTCCAGCCTCTTCCTTTTTTTTTTTTTTTTTTGTACCAGGGATCGAACTTGGGTCCTTGAGCTTGGGCAGCAGGCGGCAAAACCACTGAGCTAAATCCCCAGCCCTCCAGCCTCTTCTTTTTTCCCAGTGTTTTCTCCCACAATCACAACAGCACTTCAGAAGCCCAATTTAATTTAGATTTTTGTGAATCTTCAGCTGAATATGGTAGGAATCAAAGCACTCTGGAAACAGAGAATTCTCAAATCCTTCCACTTCTGACTACACACTCTCACACCAGAAAAAAGTGCCAGGTCCCTGTTGGACTCTTATAAAATTTACAGAGACTTTTATCCTATGTCTTAGTTTCTTTGCTTATTGCTGAGACAAAATACCCAGCACCCAAAGTAAAAGGAGGAAAGGTTTATTTAACTCCCTGTTTGTAGAAGTTTTAGTTCATAGTCAGCTGGCTCCAAGGTGGGGAGCATCGCTGAGGAGAAACAGTTCATGGCAAAGCAGGGCAGGCAGAAGACAGCAAGCAACAAGCAAGAAGCAACACACTACAACAGCCCTTTCCATCCTTTATATTCTTATGCCACCCTTAATCCTAGCATCGCACCATGAATCAATCCCAGCATCACACACTGTGGATCCAGCCACCTTGGAAAAGCTCCAACTATGACCACATGAGGTTTTAGGGGGATATCCTACAAGCCACAGCATCCTACCATCACAAACCTTCAACTAGAAATCAGGCCTGAAAACACGATTATTTCATAGCTCTCTATGTGTGTTCATTTACCATAATAAAGCAGAGACAACAAGCATTTAATGATGGGAGAACAGTCACACAAGGAATTGATTGGATGTTGTTCATACCTCTATTGTCAAGTGTCTAATCATCTAAAGAAGATCATCTGGCTCTATTAAAGTCTTTGGCGCTAATGAATAAATAAAAATGAACTTGACTTTTCATAATTTCATACCGTGCGTTTTGGAAAATAAATTTATTTTATTTTAATAAATTTTTATTTAAATAAAAAAATACTTTCTTATACTGCCAGCTGCAATCAACATGAACGATCTCACTTTAAGTGATAACATTATAAATAGAACCTATTTAAAAGAGTCATTTTTAAGTAGCGTTCACCTCCATGTATATAACTCTGAAGTTTACAGTAGTAGGGTCATGCCCCTCACCTACTGTGGATCTCAGTTGCCCTGATCTGGTTCCAGGACCTCTCTATCACTCTTCCCCTTACTCACTCTCCTCCGGCTACAATGGCTTCCATACTTTTCCAGGAGATACCATTCACTCTCTGGCCCCAGGGCCTTTCCACTGGAGGCTCTTCCTTCTAGGTGAGACCTTCGCCCTTCAGAGATCCCCAAGCTTGGCTTCCCATCTCCTCCTATTTTGGCTTAATTTTCACCATATCTTAGAGACGTTCACTGGCTACTCTACACACAATAGCAACCCTCTGCCTTTGCCTGCGGGCACTCCACTCTCCTTATATTGACTCTTTCCCTACTAGAATGGACATGCCATAAATGCAATTATGTTTACTTTGTTCACTGCTCTATTCACACAGTCTTGGCACATGGTAAGCACTCAATGAATACTTGATGAGTAAAATAATGGATGAAATAATTTGGTTATAAACTTGGAAGCTCTTAGTATTAATTGTAATTTCCTAAAGTTATCTCACTTCTGTATTTTAAAATCATGTATAACACATATGACTTTGTTTCTTTGTAATTTATTTTTCATGTGTGGCATTCAAAATCCAAGTGGATTCTTATGTACTGAAAAAATACGTAAATTTCAGAATTGTATTTGGAGATGTGCACAGGCCTCTTTGGATCTGGTTAAACAATTTGCACCTTGAGCCAGATCCGAGGATCACTGGCATGGTGGGGTTGAAACTGTGTCCTCCCATGGTCTTTCTTGTTGGGAGAGAAGCTGGTAGACTTTTATTTTGGTACCAGGGGTTGAACTCAGGACCTTGCGCTTTCGAGGCAGGCAGCGGAACCACTGAGCTTAATCCCCAGCCCAGAAGCTGGTAGACTTTGTGGCAGCACACAGCCCAGTTTCCCAATGCCCAGAAAGAATCGAAAAGTGTTAATAGATAGCCCCACTCTTTGGAGAGAGCTGTAGCTATTTTTGACTTCTGGGGTATAGCCATTTTGGGATAACCTTGAGCCTCTTCATAAAAGTAAACGAAAGGAATTGGTTTCCCTTCTAGCCATCTTTCAAAGCAATGCAAAATAAAAAGGCTCAAGATTTAGCCAAGCTATTGCTTCTAGTATAAATGATTGCTTTCTGTGAAATTCATTTTCCCCTTTATTATGAGACTGTTGGAATGTACCTGAAATGTGTACTAATGTTCTTGATACACCTTTATTTTCAATATTCCTAGTATACTCTGTCAACCAAGAGAAACACAATTAAAAGACTTGAAAAACACATAGCTGTAAAGGAAATGCAGCTCAAAAAAGCAGAACAAAAGCTTCAAGACAACGCACTAGCCTTTGAAGAGTTCCTTCGAGAAAATGACCAGCAATCTGCAGATGCTATGAAAATGTTAGTGTCTTCACATTGTCCAAATCCCACCACCACCACCACACCCGGTCTAAGTTTCTTAGAACACAACACAACACAAAACAAACTCACAAACCTTTGTTCCTTTTTCAGTGCAGCACAAGAAACTATCAACAAACTCCAAATGACAGCCGAGCTGAAGAAAGCCAGCATGGAGGTTCAGGCAATGAAGAGGTGAGGGGAGCTGCCATCTTTTCAGGCCAATTTCCACAGCCCGTAGAAACCTGTGGGAGGGTAATCCTAATTGTTGATGATTTCCCAAGTGTAAGCAGATTTTGAAGTAACTAGTGAAGGATCATCTATCTCTGCCTGGGTATCAGTTCGTGGTGGGTGTCAGAAAGGTTCTCTAACTTGTAGAAGATGTAGAAGCAAAGAAGGCAAACTGGTGTTAGGTGTAACCATCTAATTCTTTTCTCAGTACCCTTTTTTATTCCTTTTTAAGACACATTTCCCTCCACATTTGAACATCTGAGAAATTGGGATTCATTTTACAGTTACCTTACAGTTATAATTGGTAGTATTTTATTTTCTTAGTAGAATCTAGCCTTGCTATTAAAATATAAGATCTATAGTGAGAAAAGTCACAGGAGCAGGAGTTGGGACTAAAATTATTGTGCCATTGGCCACTCTTTTTCAAACCTGTGTGTTTCTTTCTATAGTAAGAAAACTCACTTGAATTAATTTTAAATATCTAAAAAGTTTCTGTCGTCATCCTTGGACAATAATTTCATGATCCAGGACATACTACTGTTTTGGCATCAGGTAGTGCTAAGACTTATTTTTTCTTCTTGATAACTTAATGTTCATATCACCTCTGAAACCACATCCTTGATTTCTTATACTCTACATCTATTTGGAAAGAAGGGCAATAACTTGTCTAAAATGCACCAAAGGAACTGGATGGTAGCTCATTTGAAATCAAGTGCACTAACAAAATGTGTGTTTCAAAGACATTCTGGATACAGCAGCCTCTTCTACTTTAGGAACCTAAAGTTGAAGGTGCTCTAAGGAGGAGAATTCATACTCCCGAGCCCATAATATAAGCAGAAGATTTTGTGCATTTGAATATTTGAAAATCCAGAGTAACAGCCTTTATGTTTCTACAAAGTGCTGTATGTAGGTCTCTTGGTCCCCAGGGACACTCTCCAGGTACCCTGGCCTGAGTACGAGTTTATTGCTTATTGTCCCATCATCCTAGAGAGGCTCAAAAGAGCATGGGACACAGCTTGTGACAGAGCCAGGAAGGCAGGCTGTTTTCTCCTTTATGAAGAGAGGGCCCAAAGAAGTCCTCCACTGCAGGCCCGGCTGGGATCAGGCTGGGAACTTGTTTACAAGAGGAAAAGCACTTTCTTCCTAAGCCTTTGTATGGAAGCCATGCAATTCCAGTCCACTTTCACTCCATGTCCTTTGTGACACATCTGGGAGGATGTCTATCAAAAACTAAAGCAGTGGTAGAGTGGGGGGCTCCCATCGTCTTCCGACCCCTGAAACCTGAGTCAACCACTCACTGGGTCTGTACTATCACTCTCACACCAGGGCTGAAGGAAGACAGAGCTGACGGATAGAGAATTGAAGCCAGACATATTGATAAGATGTGATATCAGTAAAGGCACTGATGAGGGCCTGAATATGGAAAGTTCTGAAAAATGAGCCCCCTTTCCTTGGGCTTTTCTTTCTCATTTTAAACACTCCTTCTGGGACCTTTCATAACAAGGCTGTGGTAAAGCAATGTGAAGCTCGGGGAAAGGTTCTAGGCATTTTCCGTGAGAGGTTGGGCATCACAGGCAGACACAGTTGGGTTTGAGTGCTGGATTGGGAATAACATTTATCCTTAAATGCTGTGCTGACAATGAAATTATCTCTGTAAAGCATCCTGCAAATTTCCCTGTGCGCAGAAGGTCTTCACGAAGTGTTAGTGTGCTTTCCCTCTCCTTACATTGCTACCATCTTTTGCTACCTTCTAATTTCTCCATGTGTCTAAAACTTAGCACAGCATATTGTTTTCCTCAGAAATAAATACGCAGAGTAAAACTATCACCAGGTTGTTCTAAGTGTGCATATCAGGTAACAGTCCTACAGACTGTCTTCTCTTCTTATTGAAACCTATATTTTTATTATCATACTTATGATTTTGATAAGTACATTGTTATTGTTATTATTTAAATACGTCATCAAGAGAATGTTATGTTAAAAAAATTTTAATCCATATGCTTTCACATAGGTACATCTAACCATATCTTTGTTTCTTTTGAGTAGTGAAATAGCAAACAAAGAATTCCTCCTTTGGGAGTACATGAAATATGGATTTTTTCTGCTGAAATTGTCTCCAAAACATTGGCAAATCCAGCAAGCACTAAAAAGATCACAGACATCAAAAATTCATTCCCTTCTTCCAAAACTATTAACAAGTAAGTTGATAGTCTTACTTTCAAATAAGCAAAAATCCCTGATTCTAAAATAGTGTACTTCAGTGGTTTTTTAAAGTCAGAATTTTAAAAAACAAAACCAGAATGTGGATTCTCAGTGTCTTTGTTATTATCTATTATTAATTTCAAACAGGTTAATTTCAGAAATAAAGCCATAAAAATATATACATGGAAAAAAGAGAAAATATATTATTTACAGATGATGTAATAGTGTAGAAATAGGGCCAGGAATTTAGCTCAGTGGATCTGCCGCCTGCCTTGCAAGCACAAGGCCCCGAGTTCAACCCCTGATACCAAAAAAAAAAAAAAAAAGAAAGAAATCTTCCCTAAAAAAACCTATTTTATTCAGTAAAGTGTTCTATAAAGTAAATGGACACAAAGTCAATTATACTTTATCTACATATTAAAAATTAGCATATTAAATTACTTTATCTTTGCCTGTGTATTTATTTATTAACACAAGCAAACTAACTTTAATGATTAGAAACTGTACAAGAAAACTAGATCCAAGAAAGCAACAATACCTTTACTATTATGACCTGGAGGTTTGATAAATAGAAAAATATGTTATGTTTTGAAATTTATATACATAATAAAAATGTTACCAAAGTTTTCCCAGAGAGTGATGCATCAGAATGGGGAGAACTTTGCATAAAATCATTCTGCAGTTCATCTACACTTTTGAATTAGGAAGGTGATAGCTAAGAGTTATTAGTCTTCTAAAATATTATGTAATACATTGTCCCGGAGTCTCACTAATTACAACAGTATGGTACTGGCATTCAGAGGTCAGCTTAGTGGAGCAGAAATAGATCCCATCATATAAAAGGATTTAATACATGATTAAAGTAAAGCCACAAATCAAACTAAAAGACTTGTACTTCCAGCCACATTGGGGTGACCAGGAGCAGACTTAACCCCCTTTCTGGAAAAAAATCGGAAAAAGTGAAGGAACATGAGGGACAAGAATTTTTGGACTCTGGGGATCAAGTGCAGAGCAGAGTCATCCTGGGAGAGGAGATGAGCACGGGGAGCCCTGCGATTTCCTGGAGAGCATTCGGGGTGCCATGCAGGGATGGGGAGCCGGGGGAGCTCAGCAGAGAACTGAACACGTACATCACGGACACTGGCAAACTGCAAGTCCGGGACCGTTTGTGTGCACAGAGCTGGCTGATAAACATTTCCCAGCACAACGCTGAGGATGGCCCTGCCAGGTGTGAGTGAGGTCGGTGTGCAAAGTGTTGAGCATAGTGCTGGGATGTGGTTAAAACTCACTAGATGGTGTTGAAGGAGAAAGAGAACAAATAGGAAAATAGAGAAGTATTTTGCATTTAACAGCTTAAGATTTAGTTCTCCTAGACTCTCCAAGCAGGAGATGCTCAGAGCCCAGGAGGTGTCTCAGGCAGGCTGATGGTGAAAATGGAGGCCTCCTGGTGCCCACAGGTCTGTTCTCATCCGCTCTGCCTGCACCAGACACAGCCCTTGCCAGCAGATCGCATTTTCTGCTTACAAGATCTCCATCTTTTATTTCTGTCCTTGGAAGTTTTGACAGTAGCTCTCATTCTCAGAAATCCCCCCCACACACCCATTTCTAGAATTCCCATTAAGTCCAAGTAAAATAGACAGTGGTTCTGGAAGTTCTGAGAAGATGATACCACTTTCAGATGACTCTACCAGAAGGAGGAGCCGAGGTAAGGGTTGAGATGTGTGACTTCACTCCCCAGAGTAAAACCACAGAATGTGTCAGCCTCAAAGTGGAGAAGGAGGACCTGCAAGGTTAGCTGGGAAGTGGAGTGGGTTGCCACATCACCCATAATCCTGGGCACCAGGAGTTCCGGTTTCCCCCGGATGTTATCACAAGTTGTCCTGAGTAGTGGGCAGGATCTGTCCCCTGGCTGACCAGTACATGCTCTGAGGTCTCCCCTAGCTGGGCCCCTCCTTCCTCTGGCTCAGGCCTGCCTTCTGGTAATGACAAGCCTCTTCCCAGGCCCCAGGAAACCACTCCATTTTCAAGTAAGTGACTGCCATGCTCAGTGACCCGGAAGGCCCTCTTGGGAAGAAGCGGGCATCTCTACCACACCCACAGTCAGCTCCCTGAGGAGGGCTCAGCCCACTCTAGTGCACTCAATCCCCAGAAGGCTGCCTTCCCTCTGGTACCCACCCCACCCTGCAGTCATCTGGATCTGTGACCCTCCGTGCAGGCTGGCTCTTGATGACCTCTTCTCTCCCTTGTCCAGCAGAGGTAGTGGTTGGGGTAAACTCAGCAGCAAAATTTGCCTGTCAGAAATGACCCCAGTATGAGTCTTAGGCCGTGAGCATTCAGTCCAGTGATGGAGAAGAGGAATTCTTTTGATTTGTGAAGCCAGTTTGTACATTTGTACCAAGGGATGATGACTCAGTTCTAATTACTCATTATTTCTTTTCCCTCTACCACTACCAATGGTATGGACTTCACCTGGATGGACATTCTGAACAGGAAAGCAACTCAAGAAGCCCACTCTCAACCCAGAGGCTAGGAGATCACCCGTATCCAAGTACGGTCTATGCTTAACTCTCTTGGAAATGGAATAGTTCTTAGAAAATAACTTTTTTTTAACCTTCCCTCAACATAGAGACCTTATATCCACACCTGTTGGGAAAGGCCCTAGAGCCAGTGGTCCCTGTTTTTGTGTGTTCCAGAGGTGGCCAAGCTCTGCATCCTGTCTGCCTTCTTTGATAAGCACCTGCAGCCACTGTTTGCAAAAAAAAATGCCCTTTCTCTGCACCTTGGGTCCTTGCCTCTCAGAATCCATAGCCAATGGTTTATCAAGCTCTGCACTTGCCTGTGTGTTTGCAATTTCACCACATCCTTCAAAATTGCTGTGATAGAGGACTATGAAGCATGTGTTTTTTGTTTCTTCATTACTTGATTGTTCTTCATTACTTGATTGTTGATAGGTTTATACTCATTATTTCCTTGGCTTCCCCAAGGAAGCCTTAAGGGCCAAGTACATAAGCCCAGAGGAAGGGGTCTGAGCCAGCTGCCCAGTATCCATGACAATCACTGAGGACCACAGAGACACTTGGCTCTGATTTCCAGGGACCCTGGGGTTGCTCCATTTCTGTGGCATTTAACCATCATTTTTTTAAAAATTTATTTTTGAGATAGGGTCTTGCTATGTAGCCCAGGCTGCCAATCTTGTGGCAGTCCTCCTGTCTCAGCCTATCAGGTGCTAGAATGACAGACGTGTGCCACCATGCCCTGCTTCACCATTACTGTTTTAAATTTTTATTTTGAAATAATTGTAGATTCAGATGCAGTTATAGGAAGTAATCCAGACAGATCCTATGTGCCCTTGACCCCAATTTTCCTCAATGGTAAATCTTGCATAACTAGGACAATGCCACAACCTGGACATTGGCATGGACACAAGCAAATTCAGACCGTCACCAAAGCGTTCTTCTAGCCACACCCACTTCCTCTTCCTGGCAGGCACTCATCACTCTCTATCCCTAAGATTTGGTCTTTTCAGGAATGTTGTAGAAATAGAATCATGTCCTGTGTAACCATCTGGACTTTTCACTAAGCATAATTCTCAGGAAATGCATCCAAGTTGTTGGTTCTATCAGCTGCTGGTTCCTTTCCACTGCTGGGCAGTAGTTTGTGATACGGGTGCTCTACGCTTCAACTGTTCATCCACTGGAGAACATTATTCACATTGTTCCTAGTTCAGGGCTATAATGAATAGAGTTCTCGTAAGTTTATTTGCTTAACTGGGTAAACAGTTTTCATTTCTCTAGAAGAAATGTCTAGAAGGCCAGGCCGGCTTGGGCAGTAGATGCATATGTAGTTCGGGGAAGAAACTGCCAAATTGTTTCCTAGATGGTCTGTGCCATTTTATATTCCTACCAGCAATGTATGAGCAATCTATTTTCTCCACATTCTCATCAGCAGTTGATGTTTTTGCTATCTTTTAATTTTAACTATTCTGACAAGTGTACAGTGGTATTTTGCCTTAATTGGCATTTCCTAGCAGCTAATGGGATTGAACACTTTTATGCACTTGTGTGCTCCCTTATAGCCTTTGATTAAACGTTCATTGTTCATGTCTTTTGCTCATTTTTTTTTTCTTTTTTGCAATGAGCAGTTCCCTGAAAGGCTAAACAGGCTGCTAAAAAGAACTATGCTACAGTCAGATTCCAAAGACAATTTAGAGAAGAAAGCCAATCTGTTGTGATGGGTCAAAAATCATTTACTTTTCTTTGTTTCTTTTTATTCTTTAACAGCCTGCCTGCAAGTATTGGTTCTGATGACAGTCTGGAATTCTTTTTAGATGATGACATGGACTTTGCTCTGGTAACCAGATTGTATTTCTTGACTTAAATATTGCATTTGGTGAAAAGTACAGTTGTTCAAGTCTTCTTTCAAAATTGAAATTTTGTATTCCAAATATTCCACAGATTTTCCAGAAGGAAATATGATTTAATGCTGCTCTCCAAATGGTCTAAATAACCATCAGACTATCTGTGAAAAATAAATGTCTATAAGGAGATAATAATTTGGGGGAAATAGCTAAACTACAATAGATATCTCATATAAATGGAATCATGTGGTATTTGTCTTTCTGTGATTGGCCTATTTTGCTTAGCATTAAGACCCCAAAGATCATCCATATTATAGCATAAGACAGGATTTCCCTTTGTAAAGGCTGAATAATGTTCCAATGTGTATATATCACATTCTATTTATTCACTCATTTATCCATGGACATTTAGATTGCTGCTGCCAATTGGCTATTATAAATAATGATGAGCACAGATATGCAAATAACTATTTACTTAAAGTAATAGACCCTTATTCTTAAAAATTTGAGAAGTGAGGGTCGGGGATTTAGCTCAGTGGTTCTGCCACCTGCCCCACAAGTGTAAGGACCCGAGTTCAATCCCCAGTACCAAAAAAAATTTTTTTTGAGAAATGTAGAATAATTACAATGTGTGGAGCAATGACCTTCACTTAGCCTCCTGTCTTTGTTCTATTCCTTCTCTCTTGCCTGTCACTTTCACTAGTTCCTGCCCTTTCTTCCTATTCTGCTCTATCCTTTATTTCTCTTTTCCTTACCCTCTTCCTTTTTCCTTCCTCTTCTCTCTTGAGTGTCTCTATCATTCCCCCACCCTGAACCTGGAATGCCCCTTCCCTGAGAACCAGCTCTCCCAGGGAAATAGTTGAGGCTGCCTTGTGCTCCTCTCCCCCTCTCCCTCACAGTCAGAGCAGCTGCTATCATGTGGATCTCAAATGTTCCCCAAAGGCCACGGGTTGAAAGCGTGGTCCCCACCCTGTACTGCCACTGGGAGATGCTGGAACCTTTTAGAGGTGCAGCCAAGGGGAAGAAAAGTCCCTGGGGTGTCCTTGAAGAAGATCCTGGAACCAGGCCCTGTCTACCCTGTTTGCTTCCTGGCCACTGTGAGGTGAATAGTCCGCCTCCAGCACATACTGGGCCCATGATGTTCAGGGCCACCAGAGCCCCAAAGCAGCAGGGCCAAGTGACCATGCACCAAAACCTCCGAAGCCTCTTGGCAACATAAACCTTTCCTCCTGAAAAGCTGACTGTCTCAGGCGTTTTGTCACAGTGATGGAAAGCCAACAGCAGTATCACCTATGTCAGTCACATGTGCATATTTGGAAGTGAATTCTGTTCCTCTTTATTGATTGATTAGCTGCCGGAGCTCTATTTCAAGGAACCAGAAGAGTTGCTTCAGGTCCTCACAGATCTGGAGGAGCAGAATCTGACTTTGGTCCAATATTCCCAAGATGTAGCTGAAAATCTTGAAGAGGTAAACAAAAGAGAAAAAGTTATACAGGACAAAATGTAAGTCACTGGAAACAAGTAGATTTATTCTGTTAAGCAAGCTGTGATCAGAGAGCGGGGTCCAACTCATTCACAATGTCTCTTCCTCATGGTCTCTATAGATTTAGGCTGGGCTTTTTTTTTTTTTTTTGGTACCGGGGATCAAACTCAGAACCTTGCACTTTCGAGGCAAGCTGCAGAACCACTGAGGTAAATCCCAGGGCCCTAGGCTGGGATTTTTTATTAATAACACTTTACCCTGTGAGTGTAAAAGGTTTAAGGTATATTTTCACAGAATAGACTGACTTATGTTTAATTTTATCCCTGTTAACTTTCACTCATCAAAATATTTTCCTGGCTAAGAAGGTAGACTCTTGCAGATAAGTAAAGGGACCAGCGAAATGGGGGAGGAAAGAAAAAAGGAGGTAAAGGGATTGAAAAGGATCAAGATATGTTATATGCATATACCAAGTCAGCCCCCAAAATGAATATTACTATTCTGTACTACAAATATGTACTAAGAAAAATATTCTCCTAGGTAATAATAATAAAAGATAGTTTAGAAGACTAAAAAAGAATTGAGATGATACCCTTGATTTTTGTGCACTTTAGTTTCATCCTATCATTTGGCCATCATTTCCTTAATCAAATGCTTTGGATGCTAATAAATTTGTTTTTCTTGGTGGTGATGCTCAGCAAATTTATTTTCTGTGATTTAACAGTATGATTTTATGATGCATATATCAATATATAAGGACTATTACAGGAGGCATAGAAAGGAGGTGGGTATGACAACTTACAAAATTCCTTCCTATTCTAAAATTTTATATTATTTTGAAAAAGAGCTTCAAGCTCTAGTGAAGATATCCTTATACCTGCCCATTTATAAAAATATGATGGAATCTTTTTAGAACAGTTTTCTGGGCCAGAAGGTGGCAGTCTTTTAAAATAATAAGTCCTACTACATTTAACTTCAGGGCCAATGAATTTGAGGGCTGCGAGTGTAGCTAGGTGGTACAGGGCTTGCCTAGCACACTTGGAGTTCTGGGTTCAGTCCCCAGTACTGGGGTAAAAAGGAACAAATGAATTTCTTCAGAAAGAACCCCAGAATCATTATCTCACAGCTACCCGTTGCCTATTGTGTCTTTTGAATCCCTGTTATCTTTCTCAGTCCTTACAGAGCATAATACAACACCCTCAGCCCACACTTTTTGGAACATGGTGGATGGGGACCATGGTGGGCAGGCAGGAAAAGGAGATCTGTGTCAGGCGCTCTCTCTCTCTCTCTCTCTCTCCCTCTCTCTGAGGCGCCATCTGAATCTTGAGAGGGGAGTCAGGGGCCTCTATTTTCCCCACCACTCCCCAGATATTCTGCAGATCACATCACAGCTGGGGTTCCTGACACCTCAGCTCTGCTGCTGTTTATTTGGAGGACCTTTGGGTGCCCCAAAAACAGAGGAAGGAAAAATGCCTTCCAGTGGGAGTGGCAACTGAGCATTTCCTTTCCTAGTCATGCCTTGAAAAAGTTGTGTGTGCTTCAGGGGTGTCTTCAGACACAGACTCCCAGTGGCCCGCCAGGCACAGTGTTGGCCCCTGTTCCAGAGTACTGACACTCCTAGCTGACGGTTATTTCAGTCACTCACAAATCACAGGCGAGGGTCTCTCTCTCCTGCAATAGAAATAGCAACATCGAGTTTCTGCTGGAGCACAAGGAGGTGCTGAAGGCTAGCTGCTTGCGAGAAGAGGAAAAGGCAGCCGAATTGGAATTGCGCTCCAGGCTCTTCAGTTTTGGAGAATTTAATTCAGATGCTCAGGTAAGCATTCTTTGCTCATGGTAACTTTATTCTGGCTCATGATAATAATAATTTGCCTTCCCTTGCACTAAGCAATGGAACGTGGGAGTTTAAGCAAATTGTAAGTCTCGGGTTGATGAGAGAGGTAGAAAACCAGCTTGCAGTTACAGTCTTGCCAGTATACAGCAGGCAACTTACGAGATAAGAGTCATTTAAATTTCATTAAAACTGAAAGCGTTGCTCTCACGGTCACAATCTATGATATTGAGGCCTGCCCCATATACACATTTCTTTCAGTCACGGCATAGACATATGGAGTAGTTCACTGCCAAAGCACGTTTGAGTGGCAGTTCAGGGATTGAGCAATTACCAGGAAGCAGTGAATCAATACTGAAAGGGAAATTGGCCCAACACTGAGCTGAAACAGATTTTAGCTCCTTTAGGCTCAGATAGAGAGGCCCATTATTACAGCACGTGTGACACACACTAGTATATTTATTCGGCTTTTTTTTTTCTCAAGACAGCATCTTGCTATGTAGCCCAGGCTGGCCTTGAACTCAGTGATCCTCCTGCCTCAGCCTCCTGCATCAGTGCTGGGATCACAGGCGTGCAGCGCCACAACCAGCTGGTACACACACATATTAACAAGTTCCTCTCCCCCACTGGCTGCAAGCCCCTCAAGCTCAGGGACTGTCTTGCTCTTCTTAGTTAGCTCCATTTGCTGTCCCCATAAAGCTGGTGCTCAAGAAATGTTTGTTGGATACATGATTAGGGTTGTTTTTGTGCCTGCAACAAACTCCGTCTAACGTAGGTTTTCTTGTAAAAACCTGGAGTGAAATAAAAGTTCAAAGCTAATAGGTGGGGCTAGTATCATACTTATGGCTGTGAACCTGATTTATAGACAGGTAGGTTTGGGGGAATTGTATCAGAGGTGAACGGTCTCCCCTACCCCCAGGTGGACAGGGTTACAGGTGTCCACGTTCATGTACACATACACACCCCCAGGGTGTCACCATGCCCTGCGTTAGCAGAGGATGGGATTGTGCATTCACAGAAAAGGAAGTGGCACTGATGGTCTCCCTCAGCCCTTCAATGTTGTTTTTTAAATTTAATAATTATTTTACTGTGGTAAAATATACATAAAATTTTTCAATGACTCATGTTAAGCGTGGAATTCAATGCCATTAAGTATAAGATGTGATCCAAAAATATGATGAATTTTAAAAATTGCCATTATGGAAAAAGACACATTGTCATTGATCCCCTTCAAAATATTCCACCTTGCTTCAAACACACTTATCCCATTGTACTTACCTCTTTCCGAAGCAGTTCTGGAAGTCCTCTTTCGTGTGTTTTCAGTTGTGCTATTGTGGTGCTATCGATGCCCTGACTCAATTCAAACTGTCGGCTTTTCTGGCCATTTTAACTTGGAGGAAGCGCCAGAAGTCTCACAGAGCCGGATCTGGTGAATAAAGTGGCCAAGGACACAGCTGTGTTTTCGAGAAACCTCCTTTCTGCCCGTTGGCATTTGGCAGCAGTGTTCGCCCTATGTTTAACCACACCTTGTAAAGCCACTCGTGAAAGAGGACCTCCAGAACTGCCTCAGAATTGGACAAGAATGACAGGAAACCTGTGTTCAAAGCCGGGGGTGGGGCGAGGGAGGTTACGGTAATGTGGCTTTTATTGTGATACATTTTACACCTTTAAACATTGGCTGCATATTTTGATCATCCCTTGTACATTCACTGCATTGTATGACCATTACCATGATCTATTCTCAGAACATTCTCGTCCTCATTTCAACATAAAATTTAACATCTTAACTGTTTTTTAATGTATGCTTTAAGTGTTAAGCACATTTGTGGTGTCTTGCAACCAATCTTAGGAACTTTCATCTTGCAAAAGCGAAACTCTATGCTCACTAAACACTAGCTCCCTGTTCCTCTCTCCCCCGGCCCCTGGCAACCACCATTCTACTTTCTGTCCCTATGAATTTGACTTTTCTCAGGACCTTGTATAAGTGGAATTATGCAATATTTGTTCTTTGGTGTCCAGTTTATTTCACACCGCATAATGTTTTCAAGGTTCGGCTGTGTTGTAGCTTGCATCAGGACTGCATTTCCTCTGATGGCTGAATTCCACCATATCTACACTGTATTTACACATTCCTCTGTTGATGGACCTCTTGGGTCATTTCCACCCTTCAATTCTGTTTTAAACGACTTTTGAAGTGAACTGACACGCAAACTGTCAGATAAGCATCTGTGATTTCTAACCCCCTCCACTCCAGCCAAACCCCTTTCATCCAAGTTTAGGGCAACTATGAAACAAAAGTGGCATTTTCAATCCTCTTAAACATTGAGGCAAGCAGATCATTAAGTATAAAAAGGAAAACTGATCTGAAAATTACTGTTAAAGTCTATCCATAAAATTTTGATCACAAGTATAAAATTGGTATTTATGCCAAATTTTCCTGTATATTCTGGAGAATAGCTCCAATGAGTCATAGTCTCCCAGACATAGAAAGTGTTCTGGGGCTCAGAAGAGGCAGGATGGGAAAATTGAGAGGGAAACACATTCTTTCCGTAAAATTCTCTGGCCTTCCTTCTTCCATTCTTTCAGATCTTCAAATGTACAAAACATAATCTTTTATGATAAGCATATGAGAACCATAGTTATGATAAGTATATGATAAGTATAGTCGCACCTAATTTTTAAAGTTTTGTTCCAGCTTTACTGTGGTATCAGTGATGCATCTCATTCTGATATTAATAAATTATCATACTTACTTTGGAGCTAGAACCATAATATGATGTCTTTCAAACTGCCACTTTCTTAACTGTACTTAATCTTCTAAAATCTTTTCCTTGATTTAGTATTTTATTTTTAAAATACAAATGTAAACTCCAGTATAATGCAATGTTGAAAGTTCTAAGTGTTCCTCTTATGGAATCTGCTCAAAGTGAACAGTCATGTTACACAATCAGGGAATAGACTGTTATCAGTGGCCCCCCAAACATTCCTCATTCCCCTTCCATTCTCTATCATCCTTCAGAGGTGACGCCTGCCCTGACTTCTCTGCCCATCAGTTAGCTTTCCTGGTTTTGAACCTTACAGAAGTGGAATCATGTAATATGTCTGCCTTCTTTCCCTCACCATTATGTTTGGGAGACTCATCCAGGTTGTTTTGTGTAGCAGCCGTTTTCATTGAACATAAAACGGAACACAAGTTATCCCATTGTTCACTGTGCAGAATGTGTTCGTCTCTGGTTTTTTCTTTTGGACTGGAGCTGATGGAGTTGAGCTGGGAAAGTTATGTGCAGTCAGCATACAGCAGAAAGTGACACGGGTTAAATGACAGAATCCTGGGGCTGGAAAGAGGATGTGCCGCTATCTAGGTGGCTCACCTCTCCACCTAAGACACCACTCTGCTCACCTCTCACTCACTGCTGCAGGGCACCTGGAGCTCGGCTCCTGGGTTCAGTCTTCCCTAACTTGCCTGCCCCCCTGGGAGCCTGGAGATCACCACACACACACACACACACACAGCAGGCAGCTCCTCCTCCCAGGTGCTCTGGGCTGGGCCTGACATCTGGTGGCGGCTCCAGTGATCAGGCTCACACTTCCCTTCTGTTATCAGTTGGCCTCCACCTTTGGCTCTCTGCCCCTTTGCAGTATGAGCCAGGTCCTCAATCTCTTTTTCATACATGCTATCTTCCTTAATTTCATTCTCTTTTCTCAATGCTGTTCTTAGGAAATATCTTTCTTTTGTCTGTCTTAATTACTTTTCTGCATTGCTGAGACAAAATACCCAACAATCACAAGTTAAAGGAGGAAAGGTTTAAACTTACAGTTTGTAAAGGTTTCAGTCCATACTCAGCTGGCCCCAAGAAAAGGTCACATGGCAGGGAGCATCACAGAGGAGAAACAGTTCATGGCATGGTAAGCAGGAGGCAGCAAACAGCAAGCAGCAGCAAGCCTCCCTTTCCCTTTTATCCCATCCAGACTACAAGCCTATTGGTTGGTGCCACCCACACCCAGGGTGGGGCTTCAGTCTTCAGTAAATCTATTCAGCCACATTTTACTCAAGTCTAGAGACTTTGCCTGGGACTGAGATTAAGGGCAGCAGACTAATTAATCTGGCAGGAGAAATGTCAAGGCAGCCTGTTGAGGCAGTGTCATGGCTACTGTTGAGGGCTTTTAGCCAGATTTATGTTGAGAGTCAAGAGCAAAGAGCCCAGCAGAATTATTTAAAACATTTTGAGTTTGGCCAGAAAGGAAGCTCTAGTTGCAGCCTGCAAATCTAGAGCAGAGGAGGCCAGGAATGTAGCTCAGTGGCACTGCACCTGCCTGGCAAGCACAAGGTCCTGAGTTTGATCCCTGGTACAAAAAAAAAAAAAAAAAGCAGAGATCTTGCTGAGAAGGAAGAGGAGAATAGAAAAGATGGCCTGAGGGCAACACAAGAAACAGCAGGACCTCACCCTTTGCTGCCTCAAAATTGCAAAAGTGAAACTTTGCTTTGAGAAGAGAGCCCCTGAGCACTATGTTCCAGAATGGCAGCAGCCTAGGGAAGTTGTTGCTCAGGATTTGGTTCATAGGCACTGGACCCCTCTAGCCAAGAGAGAAGGAAACTTAGCTACTACTCCAGCTGGTGGTAGACCCTGACATCATTTATGTCATGCTGGTTTTAGGCGCATGAATAATGCAAGAGTTGTGAGGTCAGGAAGGTCTCCACCCAGATTTCAGAAGGCCTGAGAGGCAGTGTGCCCCTGAGAGGATAGTGTGTGTGCTGTAAATGTGAAGCCAAAGGTACAGTGGAGACCCCAGGAGTTTGGAGAAGACAGGAACATGGATCCTCTGAGGGAAACTGCAAAGAGGGAGCAGAGCCAGCCCAAGAGAGAAGCCATGGGAAGTGCCATAGGGGCAAGAGCCACCCAAGCCCTTGGGAGTTCATTATCTTGCCACAGATTGCCTTGGATGCTGCACATGGGATTACAGGATTTAATGTTTCCCCTGCTAGA